GCAAGGCAAAGCAATCTCTCTTTCCCTCTTCTTTTATAATCCAACCCAGCTTTTAGGGGAAAAGGTGCCAGGTAATAAAATCTAAACAGAGATAATTTCATCCTTCTCTCAAGTGGATGATGCCGCCCCCTATGGGACCTCTGTGAAATTACTGAGAAAAATTAGTAAGTGGTTTTCAGAAATGAGCTTTCTCCAGGGAACAGTACGCCTTAGAATCTGTTCTTTTACCCTTCATGTTTTCATTGTTAGTTACAATGACGAGGGTTTGTTTCCAAGGATCTGACACTCATCATAAGTGGTCACCTCATGAACAGTTAATGAAAGAACAAAAGCCAGGCCTAGGGCAAAGGCAAATGGTCCAGAAGTATGGAAATAGACACAGCACAGTCAGGAGCTCAGGGTCATCTCCAGTACATGGCTTCTTGGAGCTCAGTGGGGTCTCCGTGAGGTCTTCTCACAAAAAGGAGAGAAAGCTTGTGTCATCAGATACAGTATTTGGCTGGCATAGTAAGTGCACTAAACGTCACTGTGACTTAAACACTTAAAAATTGCTTGCAAGACATTTAATCCCAGCACTTGGGAGGCAGAGGCAGGCAGATCTCTGTGAGTTCTGAGGCCAGCCTGGTCTACAAAGTGAGTCCAAGACAGCCAAGGCTACACAGAGAAACCCTGTCTCAAAAAACCAAAACAAACAAACAAACAAACAAGCAAACAAAAACCAAGGGGCTGGTGTGAGATCAAGAACATCTGCTGCTTACAACTACCTGTAACTCATGTTCCAGTAAAGCCCTGCTCTCCTCCAGCATCTGATGACATCATATGCTTGTGGCACTCATACATACATTTACACAAGCACACATTCACGCAACATAAAAAAAAAATACATAAGGGCCCTTAGCGACAAAGCCATCTCTCCACACTGGGTTACACTTGTTACCATTTCTTTCCCATGGGTTCTTTCATTTGCTACTTACACCACCTGCCCAGACTGAGGTCCATCTCAGGGAGGCTTGGCTTGCTGGCATCCATAAATACAGCCTTTCTTCCACTTAGCCTTTGGCTCTGCAATTAGGTCTTGCACTTGGAAGAGCTGCAGCAGCAATGGCTCTGGCTTTCCAAGGCCCTTGAGGGTTGCTGGTTGTCCCAACCATGGCTGATCCTGTGAATACTCCCAGAGTGCAAGAAGGGCTAAGAACACAGATCTCCCACCCAAGTACTAACTAAGCCCAACCTTGCTTAGCTCCTGAGAGCATATGAGATCCTGGCACTCAGCCCTAGGTGCCATTACTAGCACTGAAATAATAATAATAAGTTTGTATGTAGCCTGGCTTAGTTTCTCAGATCTGTGACCCTAGTACTCTAAATGCTAAGGCAGGAGGATTGTTTTTAGTTCCAGGCCAGGCTGTGATACTAAAGGAGACACTATCTCAAAAATTTTTTTTAGGATTTATTTATTATATATACAATATTCTGTTTGCGTGTACACCTGCACACCAGAGGAGGGCAGCAGATCTCACTATAGATGGTTGTGAGCCACCATGTGGTTGCTGGAAATTGAACTCAGAACCTTTGGGAGAACAGCCAGCGCTCTTAACCTCTGAGCCATCAGTTTAGCGCTGATTAACATTTTTTTTTTTTTTTAAATCAACAAGCTGAGTGTGGTGCCACCTTCCTTTATGTCCAACACTCTGGAGGGAGAGGCAGGTTTATCTTTGTGAGTTCCAGGCCAGTTTGGTCCACAAATCAAATCCAGAACAGCTGGTCTCAAAAAAACAGAAACAAAACAAACAAACAAATAAAAAACCAAAGCAACAACTTCCCCCGGAGTATATGCAGAACAACAGAACCTCTCCTCTCCAAGGCCTGTCGGTACTCTGGGCTCCTCGAGAGCTCTTCACACTGTGACAGACTACCCAGGGAAAGCAGCGTGTGGATAGAAGGGTTTGTTCTGACTCACACTTTGCTGGTACTGTTCCCTGTGGTGGAGCAGGTTTAGAAGCAGGAGTGTGTGGTTGCTGGTCACGTGGCCCCTGCAGCAGAAAGCCGAGAAGGATGAATGTTTGTTCTTGCTTTGCCCTCTCCAGTCTGGGATGGTGGGCCGTGCAGTTCACAGTGACGGTAGGTCTTCCTGTGGTAAAGTAACCTAACCTGGAAACTCACCAATATGCAGAGGCTTGTCTCCTAGCTAATAGTCTCATCTTGTCAAGCAGACAATTAAAATTCACCATCATAGGGGCTGGAGGATTGCTCAGTGGTTAAGGGAACTGACTGTCCTTGCAGAGGACCTGGGTTCAAATCCCAGCACCCATATGGCAGCTCACAACTGTCTGTAAATCACATCTGACAGTTTCACATAGACCTACATATAATAAAGATAAATAAATTTTTAAAAATTAACCATCCCTGTAACTCTGTTCTTTTTGAAAACTATTTTATTATATTTCTTTTTTATTTCTTTATTGGTTTTTGTGTAGGTGGATGGGTGGCTGTATCTTCTACTTGCAAGTACACCTGCAGGCCAGAAGAGGGCATCAGATCTCATTATAGATGCTTGTGAGCCACGGTGTGGTTGCTGGGAATTGAACTCAGGACCTCTGGAAGGGCAGACACAGCCCTGCCCCCACCCCTTTATTTATTCATTTATTTATTTATCAATTAATTAACTATTTTCTGAGACAGGGTCTCTCTATGTAGCCCTGACTTTCCTAGAACTTGCTTTGTAAACCAGGCTAGCCTGGAAATCAAAATTCATCTACTTGCCTCTGCCTGGGATTAAAAGCGTGTATCACCATGCCCAGGATATATTTTATTTCTGTTTTATTTAGAGGACATTTTGAGACACAGTCTTGCTATGTAGTGAGGCTAGTCTCAGTGCCAAAATGGCACGGTGGCTGCATCGGCTTCCCTAGTGCCAGCCTGAACATCCTGTTCTTGCTGGTGTGTTGTTGGGACATAAATGTATGGAGGTGAAAGATCAGCCTTTGCTGTTGCTATCAGAAGCTGTCTGTTTTAGTGTTTTTACTTTATTTTATTAATGTGGTAGTGGGGCCTGGAGAGACGACTCAGTGGTGAAGAGGACTTGTTGTTTTTCCAGAGGATCTGGATTCAGTTCTTAGCACCGGCTTGGGGGACTTCAGCTGTGTGTAACTCCAGGTCTGAGGGAATTCAACACTCTCTTCTGCTCTCCTTGGGCACTGCACACACCCATCGCACAAACATGCAGATGACAGACAAACACCTATACACATAAAAAAAATTGTGTGTGTGTGTGTGAGACAGAGAATTTTGTTTTGGTCTTGCTTTGTAGAGCAGGCTGGCCTAAAACTCACAGAGATCTGCCAGCCCCTGCCTCCCTGAGTGCTGGGATTATAGGCATGGTCCATGAGCTTGGCCTGGGGGAGTCAGTTCTATTCTTCCACTTTTATGTGGGTTAGAGGGATGGAACTCATGTTGCCATGCTTGCAAAGGAGGTGCCCTTTCCCAGTGCACCATCTGGACAGCAACCGCCTTGGGTTTTGGTACAGGATCTCTTTCCGGGGACATGGGCTTGCTGGTCGACTAGTCTGGCTGGTAATCAAGGCCAAAGGATCCTTCTGTCTTCACCCCACCTCACCCCACAAAGTGCTGGGATTACAAATCTGCGCTACAGAGCATGGGAGCATGAGCCTTTGTTGTTGTTTTTAAACCAGGGGATCTAGAGTGCAAACTCAGGTCCTTTTGCTTGCCCAGAGAGCATTTTACTGAACCATTGTTGTGGACGTTTTGGTTTATGATATGTGAACATGTTTTTGTTAAAATTACAAGTTGTGGGTTTTAGTTTTTCCTTAACACTTAACACCTGTTAAGTGTCTGGTGCAGAATATGGTCTTTGCTACGTGGAATCAGTGGAATTCTGAGTACTTTGAGGGGTATAAACATGACAGCCCAGAGGAGGCTGCTTGGAGGAGGGCTGCTTGCTGCTGGTTCGTCCTGCTGCTGCATTTGCTGATTACCTGAACTTCTGATACTGGTATTGCCCCCCAAATAATCCTATGACCATACCCATCGGGAAGTAGCAGAGAGAACTCTGGCTCGGCCCCTGTCTCCACTAACCTTTCTCTCCTACCTGGTGTTGGGGAGTTGGAAGGGAGGAAGAAACGTTTAATAACCCTAAATGAAGTAGGTTTGTCAAAAAAAAAAAAAAAAAAAAAAAAAATCAAGGTCAGCACACCATCTCTTCAGTCCTTGTTTGTTGTGAGACAGGGTCTCACTATGTAGCCCTGGCTGGCCTGGAGCTCAGTATGCATACCAGACTGACCTAGAATTCAGATATATGTCTGTCTCCGAGTCCTGAGTACTGGGATTAAAGACATTTGTGACCATCAATGTTTATTAAGAGACAGAATCTCACTCGTAGTTAATTCCCCTGCCTCAGACTACTGAATGTTGAGATTACAGGCATATTTGTTTGCTAAGAGGATCCCCTGGAACCCAGGCTGGCCTTGAACCTTTGATCCCTTTAGCTTTTTTATTATTATTTTTTTAATCTAAAAGCTGTGATCACAGGCATGGCCCACCATGCCCAATTTGAGTACTGCATCTTACCAAAGGATTTGAGGATCTACAAATTTTGGTGTAGGGAAAGGGGAGAGGGGGAATGTGCTCCCTTCGCCCCACCTTCCCATCTACCTCCATTCCCTCCAGGAGTTTCCTTTTTTTTTCTCACTAGGTGGTGATCTCCATGCGGGCAGGTCGTTATTTTAAGTGTCCACTTTATTTCTCCACATCCTCGACGCTGGAACCCCCACGAGAACAGCTTCGTAAACGACCCTGCGGACATCCTTGCCGAGCCCAAACGCCCGCCACTTTTTCTCCTCTTCCCTCTCCAGGATTGCCCGGCGTCCGCGTCACGTGACGCGCGTCCGCCGGCTGGCCTGGGAGTCCTGGGAATCCACGTGCTGCCCCGCCAGGCCAGGGGACGGCACTGCGCAGGCGCGGCTGTCTGCGCAGGCGCACGCGCCCCGGCGCGCGGCTCCGCGGGCGGTTGGCGAGAGCGGGAGCGGGTGAGGTGAAAGCCGGCGCCATGGTGGAGAAGGAGGAGGCCGGCGGGGGCGGCGGCGGCGGCATCAGCGAGGAGGAGGCGGCGCAGTACGACCGACAGATCCGCCTGTGGGGCCTGGAGGCCCAGAAGCGGTGAGGGGCGCGGCGGGCCGGCGGGCGGGTCCGGGCTGCGGAGCCGAGCGGGGCTTGGCGCCTGCCTTCGCCAGCCCTCGGGATGGAAGAGCGGAGGCTGTCTCTGTGAAGCGTGGGGGGAGCAGGCGGCCCGCGGGTGCTAGCGCGAGTGGCCTCGGAGGATTCGAACTCGTGGCCACCGCTCGGTGTCTGCCACCTGCGATGGTGGGGCTTTCGGGGAGGCTTTGAGGGTGGAAGAGGGGGCGGGCATGCGTGCAAAGGGTGGGGACGGGCTGAGCTCATCCATTCATTGCTCGTCAGTGGGAGCCTGTGGAGGACGCCCTTGGGGCTGGCAAACCCCACAGGCTCCTCTGGGGTGGGCTTGGGAGCAAGTCCTGACAAAGGGACACCTGGAGAGAGAGGCCCAGAGTGACTGCATTTATTTAAGCGTACTGCCACGGGTGCTGTTCAGTTGTGTTGTTTTGTTCTGTTTCCCCTTCTTTCTCTAAGTGACATGTTTTTCTCTGTGTAGCCCAGGCTGTCCTCGACCTCTCCCTGTAGACCAGGCTGGCCTTGAACTCAGAGGTGACCTGCCTCCTGCCTGAGTGCAGGAGTATTAAAAAGGACTGCACCACCATGCCCTTCTTTCCTGTTTCAGATTTATTTATTTATTTATTTATTTTGCGGGTCATGGTTGAGCACATCTTTAATTATGGCACTCGGGAGGCAGAGACAGTCGGATCCCTGAGTTGGCTGTCAGCTGAGATCTGTAGTTGCAGGAGAGCCAGGACTACACAGTGAGACCCTGTCAAATCAAAACAAATCCCAAAGTTATGGGTTTTATAGCCTCGGCTGGCCTTGAACTTGCAGAGATCCTCTTCCGTAGCCTTTCAAGTGCTGGGATATATATGCATGCACCATCACATCTTGGCTCCCAACTCACTCTGTAAACCAGGCTGTCCTGGAACCCACAGAGATCCTCCTGCCTCTGCTTCTTCTGTGCTGGAATTCAAGTCTAAAGCCGTGCACCACCATTGCCCAGCTGCATTTTACTTTTTTTCTTTTTGGAGTACTTTTAAAATTTCATGTATGTATTTGTTTTCGTGCGCATATCTCATGTACCTGTGCATGCCAAAGAACAACTTTGCAGCCATTTCTCATCTTTCACCTTCGTGTGGAGTCTGAGGCTTGAGCTCAGGTTGCCAGACATGCCCCAGGCCTTCCAGACAAGCTCTTTACCTTGGTGAGGCTTTTTGCTTGGGATTTCTGAGCTTTTTTTATTGAACAAAATAGGCTCCTTCCCGACTTGAAGCTTATGTTCTGCTAGGGACTGAGGACAGTATTCATAAATCAAGTTTCCATAGTAACAATGCTCCAGGTACTGGCACACACCCGAAATTCTGGCACTCAGGAGGGTGAGGATGGAGGAGTGGACTGAAGGCTAGTCTCAAGTTCGTAGTGATGAGTTTGATGTCACTGTGACCTATATAGCTACACCTTATCTCAAGAAACCAAAAATACTGCTAGGCATGGTGGTAAGAGCCTTCATCCTGTTGGAGGCAGGTCTGGGCTATCTAAACACCCGTTGTTGTGGTGGCCTACACTTGTAGCCCCAGTGTTTGAGAGGTTGCTGAGGCAGAGAAGCATATAACAAAGATGTGTTGGTGCATGCCTATGAGCTTAGCACCTAAGAGGTAAATGCAGGAAGATCAGAAGTTCAAGGCCTTGGCATGATGGCATACACCTTTATTCCCAGTGAACTTGAGGCCTTTGGTCTACATTGTGAGTTCCGGGTCAGCCAAGGCTACATAATGAGACCTAGGTAATGGGAGCTGGAGAGGCAGATCATATAAGTTAGGAGCACTGGCTGCTCGTTCAATAGACTCAGGTTTGGTTTCCCCCATCCACATGATGGCTCCCAGCCACCTGTAGCTCCAGTCCTAGGGAATCTGACATTTTCTTGTGCCCCCTACAGGCACTGCACGCATGTCCTGCACATACACACACTCAGATATGCACACAGTCTCTGAGGGAGAAAAAGGTGTGAATCTACTTCATGAGGCTGTGGAAGTAAATGAGATAGTGCATGAACAACACTCAGAAGACAAAGGTGGCCGGTCACGGTGGCACACTCCTTTAATCACAGCACTAGGGAGGCAGAGGCAGGTGGATCTCTGTGAGTTCGAGGCCAGCCTGGGCTACAAAGTGAGTCCAGAATAGCCAAGGCTACACAGAGAAACCCTGTCTTGAAAAACCAAAAGAAAAGAGAAGATATTAGTAAATTCTCTGCATTATTAGACAAGTCTGAAGAGCCAGCAACAGAAGGGAAAGTATTAAGTGTATTGAACGACTTAATCTCCAGGAGGTTTTAAGAGCAATGTAGTTTAAGTGCTGGGATGGAATCGCATGTTCGGCATGTGTGTTTTACCTGGGTCACAAACACTCCCAGCCTATCCCAGCAAATGAATTTATTTTATTATTTTCCTTTGAGATAGGGTTTCACTCTAGTCCAGGCTACCATCAAACTTGGAGCAGTCTTCCTGCCCAGTGCTAGGAGAGCTGACATCATAGGTGTAGTGACATGTACTAACTATAGCAATGGAGGACAGGAGTTCAAGGCCAGCCTGGGTTGCACGAGACTGTCTCAAAAACAAAACAAGAAACTTTTGTTTTAAGCCTTTTCTCTCTGAGGATTTTAAAAATGTAGCAGTTATGAAGCATAGAGGTTTGTTTATATTCTGTCAGTGAAATTTGGTCTGTGCCTTGTCTTCCAGCAGGTCGCTTAAGCATGTTAGTTGGGTGTATAGCTCAATTGGTAGTGTTTCCTTAGCATATACAAAGCCCTAGGTTCTGTATCTAGCATTATATAAGGAAAGGACTCCCATAGCTCATGTCCATAATCTCAACCCTGTCTCCCCCTCCTAAACACACACACACACACACACACACACACACACACACACACACACACA